GACAGAGCAGCAGTTACACAGTATGTTCATACTTGAAGGTAAAAGGTCTTCAGTATGTATACCTGTTTGTATAAAGGATTTCTGAAATCAATCTGAAAAAAAAAAAGTGTGTTCCCATTTTGAGGATTTCTTGGTTTTCTTCCTATGCTTCTCTGGTGTCTTGTGTCAATTTCTTTCATTTAAAACCTCATATATTATTTTTTTATTTTGCTTGTTATGCTTAATACAATCTGTGTGCTTCTGGATATTATTGTAATGGACAATAGAAATAGCAGCAATGTATACAGCAAGGGGTATTAAAGTTATTTCAAATGCTTTATAAGATCCTCCATCTACTTTATTTTATTTTCCCAGTCATATTAATAGTGGATAAAGCTTTGGTGTACACTGTTTATACGACTTCTATTTTTAAAGTCTTTGTCCCTGCATATTCCCTCCAGAATTAATGGTCCAGAAAAATAGGGAAAATTCTTCTTATTTCCTGATGGTTCCTGGATTGCTTCCTGCCCCTGCTCAGCAGTTACCTTACAAGAGTTCTGGATTCTCAAAAGCTTGGGTATTTTTTTTTTTTGTGCCATTTTCGCTGGTTCTTATTAAAGTATAAAGAAAGAAATGCTTTCTCTGTCCCTTCCTCTTAAAAGCAGAGGTTGCTTGCGTTATGCAGTTTGAAAAAACTGACTGGGATGTCCATTTCAGGACTCACTTGTGAATATGTACTCTATGCTGCTTCAATTGGCAAGCTTACTTCTATTAATATATCTAGCATTATAGAGTTCAGATTGGCCTAGTAGAAAAAAAGTCCTTTCCAATCCAACAACACCCGTAACTGGAACTATCTGCCTCATAATCAATACTCAAGATATAATGCTGACCTTCTGAGTGGATCCAAGGCACATACTAGAAAAAAAACCCTGCTGTAGCTGCATGTTAAAACAGATCCCAGTCTCATACATCTAGAAATAAATCCTGCTGGCTTCAGAAAGAAACCTAAGTCGCAAGTACATCTGTTTTGGATTATATCCTAAACTTGGAATCCACAATACAGACTCATTACCAGAAACATTAATGCAAACTAAGAAGATATGTATTACCAGGATGGCAGACATTGTGGTTTGGTTTATTAACAAATTTTTTATAATGCCCCAATCTAAAAACTCTAGGTAATATGCACAATATATTATCAAAACTAATAAGATGACCACCTTAGCTGCCATACTCTGCATCAGTTGTAGCTTTCAAGGCATCTTCAAAGGCATCCCCATATAGAGTTTGTTGTAGAGTGATCCCATCCAGAAGATTAGTTGAAAATGATGTTTCAAAGGGGCCAAGATATATATGGATGAATAGCAGCTCTACTGTGTGAGAGCATAGTCTGAGCTTTTTTTTTGTTCCCATTGAACTCCAGACACCAGTTCAAAACCTCCACAGCATCTCTGGCCTGGCTGGGATTTATGATATACAGTTGAGTATCATGAACATACTGATGATACCTTACCCCAAACCAACAGATTACCTCTCTTAGCGGTTCATATAGATATTAAATAACATGAGGGAGAGAACTGAGTACCTGTAGTTCCCCACATTGGAGCACTTCCCCCATGACTACAAACTGGAACTCAGATGACAATGGACCCACCATAAAATGCTGCCTCTGACTCCAGATGGTTCAAAACAATATCATGGTTGATTATGTGAAATGCTACTAGGAGTCTTACAGGACCAGGAGAGACACATTTCCCCAATCCAGATCCTGACAAAGTTCATCCACCAGAGTGACCAATGCTGTTTCAGACTGGTCCTGAATCCTGAATGAAAAGGATCCAGGTACTTTTTCCCCCTCTATGTTCCTCTGTACCTGATTCCTCACAAATTTCTCAACAAACCTTCCCAAAAAAGGGAGTTCAGAGATTGGGTGGAAGCCCCAGAGATGGCCTAAACAGAGAGCACACCAGAATCTCTTTCAAGACTGGTGGTGTCTCACCCTCTCTTAGATAGTCACTAGACACCTCTCAAACCCAACTAACTACCCCTCAGCCATCCAAAGGCACCAGGCTGAGCATGGGTCCAGACCATAGCTGGCTGTCAGGCCCAGCCCAAGAACGACGAGGCAGTCCAGTCCAGTATAGTTCCTTTATTAGCTTGCACCTTATAGACAGAATCTTGCCAGACTAAACCTATGTTAAACCAACTAGTGGATAAACCCCGTGAGACTCTAGGCAGAGGCTAGTCTCAGTTTCTTCATCTTCTCATGGTCCTGCTGCGGGCTGAGAAAGCACTTCCCCTGCAACCTCTCCTGGAATGCTACCCCTCCCTCATGATAACCTTGATCCTCCATTCCAGTATCCTCCTCGCACAAGCCTTCCATTACAGTGGCAGAGTTTATACTACAGACAATTTTATCAATTTTCTCAGGTTCCACAAGCTCAAAAGAATCCTAGCTGTCCTCACAAGATGTTGTCCTAGTCACCCGGCATGGTTCTATCCAATTGACATCTAATCTTGAGCAAATATTAGTGAACTTATCTGTAAAGAAACCTGCAAAAGCTTCACAACTGTCTGCAGGTGTCTTGTCTTCCACATCTCAAATCAGCAGGCAGGAATCCAAAGATGCAATAGAAACAGAAAAATATACATATTTTGTCATTTTATCACTACTATGTAGGCCAAAGCTCAAGAATGTATCAGTGCTCGGTTGTGTTCATTTATGGTTTTTCAATATCATATTTCACTTCATTTCTTGTATTTCCTTTGAGGATCAATGATCTAGTTGGTATTATTGAGTGGAAAGAGGCCCCTGAAGAAAATGTTGTTAAGATCTCTGGTTGTCTCCATATGCCAAACAACAACCTGGCTCAAAACAGAGCTGCCCGCCAAATCACTGGGCAATTCCCCAAGTGCCCTCTAGAAACCCTCAGGGTCCATTAGGCTCTTGGGTGGATCATCCTAATAGGTCTATTGCCCCTGAAGGGATCCATTTGCTCATGATCTGTAGTTCAACAAAAGTGATACTGAACTTTAAGAGACTTTTGAGATGCCTACTGAAAACATTCTCAGCCCTCTAATTCCAGCAGACAGATTTCCCAGAGCACAGAAAGAGTTGGTAATGGGCCAGATAAGCTAATATGGTGAGCTGCACTGACGGAACAGGCCTGTCTATTCTATCAGTGGAGAAAAAAAGATGATCAAACAACGCAGTATGTTTCTTCTTCAGATCTAACATAAAACCCACCTAGGCACACTGCAAACATATTCCAAGCAGTATGTCCTTTACTTTGTTGACAAAAGTGTATCATATTAAAATGCACAGTGATGCGATGGCTCATTTTCGTAGTTCTCTTGCATTTATTCCCTTGCATTTATTCTCTCCCAGCATTAATGCTCAGTCACAACTATTTTCAGGTTGCACAAGTCATCTGATATTTTAAACTAAAGCCTGGGATTCATATTAAGGATATCTGTAAGCTCCTCATATGAAAGATCAATCAAGTTTATTTATTCTGGGTGTATGAATGTGACATGACTAATGGCACATCTATTTCCTGGAAGCAGAAGGCTAATGCTACTGCTATAGATTGAGAGCAAGAATATTTATACTATGTGAAGAAAAAAAATGCATTGATAAAATTCATATTTGCTCATTTGAAAACAGTGTTGTGTTTTTCCTAAAAAAACAATATGCAAGCTTAATGAAATAGCCAGTGCCACTCAGGAAATCTCAACTGCTTGTTAATTGAATCAATTTCCTTACCCACCTTTTTCTGATACATTCACCTTCTAAGCAAACCTTTTAATTTAATAAGGCTTTTGAAGCGTTTTTGATTTCTTATCTAAGAGAATGATATACTCTCCAATAAATCTATTACTAAACTAAATCCAGGGTAAACCATCTTATCTGCTTAAGTAATTTGCAGAGTATGCAGCACTTTTCAAAAGTCACATGGTCCTTTTAAGAGGAATGTTGCAATATTCATTTTAAAACATCCAGCCACAAAGCAATGAAGCAAAGCTTCTTTATGTATGTGCCAGTTCACATGGAGCCTTCTTTAAAATCCCACCAGTCAGTCGTTTGGGGAGAATTAAGAAGAGGGAGAGAGCAAGGCCAAATCATAGGCCACAGGGTACATCACAGAGGCAACAACTGAGGCAAAAAACATAGGAAGTGTCAGTTTCGGTCTTGCTGACCAGTTCAAATGTATACAAGAAATGAAACACATCAAGGATTAGAAGCTGTGTATCTAGAATGAATGAGCAGAATGACAAGATTGATACTGACAATATTCTAATCACAGGCTGTTCTCAAATGAAGGCTTTCATAATGTTACCTCCAGAGTTTCAACCCAACACCAGATGCTGCTTAAGAGTTGGCTGTAAATTGATCAGTTATTTCCAAGGATCCTTTCCTTGCAACAGAGCACTCCTGTCTCTGAATCTTGAGACATCAGCATTCTCAGGGATTTGGTTAATATTTGACTGCCTGGATCCAAGTTGTCTTAGAAGATGGTCTTGGCACAGCTTACCCTGCAGGTCCTGAGTTTTGGGCTCGCGGAACTCTGCCTTGTCTTTGAATGCAGACAACTCCAGAGGGATATGATAAATAGATCTACATTTTCTTTCTTGAACATCCAATCATCAGAGCTTTAACTTCTTAACAAGTACAGAATTGAGAAGGGAACTGTTCCCATTATACCCAGCTACATATGCAATTTCTTTTCCAGAAATTTGCTGATAACTGCTTTCATTTGCTCTGTTGTACTATCTAAATTAGGCATGACATTTTACCAGTTTTCAGGAAAGTTCTAAGAAAATATGTATCAAAACAATTTTTGGATATATTTAAAGGTAATACTGATTTTAGCAAAATTAGTTGGAAAATTTAGTATTACCAGCTTTAGAATTTTTTCTCGCCAGCAAAATTTGTTGGGCTGAACTTTGCACATATTCCATGTCTAACATATTACTGTTTTAACACATGAAAGAAGATGAAAATTCAGGACTCTTACTGTGAAGTAGAACTGTTCTGTCTCCTGTTGATTGGCCCGTCTCTTGGCAATGCTTGGCTTGCTCATGAATGTTTCAGAAACTGTTGATTTTACAGACTCCATAGAATTGCTATACTGGAAGCAATCAGATACATCAAAATCTTCAATAGTGACAATATCCTGAATAGTCTGCAGTGTGGCTTCCATTGTTTTTTTAACCTGACATAGAAAGCACAGAAGGAATAAAAAATAAAAAGTGAGACTGCAGCATAACCAATCATATATTTGATTCTGTTACAGTACAAATACTTTTTGCAGGGATGCTGAGAAAGAACAAATCTTCTAATTATGTATCCTATATGCCATGAGAGTGATTATGTTCTAGTTCTAGTGCAAATTTGAACAAGGGGATCAGTGTAGCAACTGATCTGCAACTTCAGTCTACTTGCCCTGCAAAGAACAACAATGAACATAACCATTGCAACATGAAGCTCTGCTTGACTTGGAGCATCTGATGTAGTGGCATCCTTGTGTCTGACTTTGTCTCCCAAAGAAGACAGGGAGAGCATGGATGAAGCACATTGGTGGAGGGGTAGATGTCATGGAGAATCTTATCCACTTCACCAGGCTTCAAAAGAATCTCACATAATTTTAAAAGACCCTACCCTGCTCACCAATGTGGATGCTGCTCCACTGATGTCTAAATCAGAATGGGTATTATATGTATGCTGTCAGATCTCAGGCTAAAAGACATGGAAAAACAAGAATATGGAGCTGTACCAATGAAAAGACGGAATTCCCTATGACAGGTATGGAGTTTGGGTTCTTACCTCTTCATTTTCAATCTTCAGAGTGGACAGCCTAGACTGCAGCTGCTGACATCTTTGTACCAACTCACTCTGCACTGGTTGCTGGGCACATAGCTGGAATACCTAGAAAAGAACAGGTATTTTTGCAACTTTCCAGATACTTGCTTCCAGTTCTTTTGTTAAAACTCATAATCAGGTATGAAAAACCTGTACTGGGCCACCGAAAAATGGATAACTAAACAAACTGGAATATACAACATCAAAACAAGTAAGTTTCACTGTTACATTTTAGATGTAATGAGACCAATAATATAATTTGTCACCGCCCAGAGTCGCTCTGTAGTCAGATGGGCAGTGACAAATTGGATAAATTGGATAAATAAATAAATAAATAAATAAATAAATAAATGGTCTCAAAAATTAACAGTAAAGAATGAATCCATGACAAACAATGAAAAGTTTTCCGCAATTTTTCAGACAAGTTAATAGAAGGTAGAAACAGAAGAAACAAATTATTTTTAATTTTTAATTATGTTTTGTTCAATAAACCACAATTGCCTGGATGTTCACACATACTTAGTCATAAACCACAGTTTACCATCTACAATGGTTAGGCTCACATATTGCGCTAAGCCAGTTAGCTGCAGTTCATTCAGAAGTCAGTGGCATGAGTGCTAAGCAGAACCTACTGCGGGATCATATTATATCTTTGCTACAGACCCTGCACAGACTACCAATTGGCTGCTGGGTACAATTTAAAGTGCTGGTTTTGACCTGTAGAGCCCTTTGTGGCTTGACACCTGGGTACCCACAGGACCACCTGCCCCAACCAGAGTCAGCCTGCTCTATCAAGTCCTCTAGGAAGAAACTGCTCCTAGCGCCCAACTTTTAGGAGGTAAATGGTGTTGGGTCCAGGAGCCACTGCTTCTTGATAGCAGTGCTGGTTCTGTGGAGCAGCCTCCCTGTGGAAATCAGGCTGGCCCCCTCCTTCATTCCATTCATAAAGATCCTGAAAATAGAACTGTTCTGGAGGGCATTCTAAGTAGACTTGGACCATTTCTGCTTTATTGTGTTGTTTTATTCGTGAATTGTTATTTTTTTAAAATTTATTAAACAAATTTGTACAGCTGCCCATCTACCAAAGGAACTCTGGGCAATAAACAAAGATAAAAACACAATACAGTGATCAAAATTGTTGGATGAAAGGAAAAGAAAAAGAAAAAAGAGAAAGTCGAGGCCCCAATAAAAATGTCAACACCCATAGATAACCCCACAAAATTGTTAAATGTTTTGATTTTATGCTAATTTTATTCCTACCACAAATGCTTTAAACTGTTTTTTTCTATGTTGTGCTAACAAGTGGAAGGATGGAAAGATAGATACATAGATAAATGCCACAGAATCTATATCATAGATAATAGTTTGATATGCGAATGCACCCAGCTTCCAATAAGATATGTGTTCTTGCAATTGAATGTGCTATTTTTATTTTTATTTTATTTATATAGCCGCCCATCTCACATAAAAGTGACTATTATGATTTGTACAATTGTTTATGTCATTATATAATATAAATTCACAAAATTAACAGTGAAGAATGAATCCATGATGAACAATGAAAAGTTGTCCACAAGAGTGTGAAGTCTTGGTTATGCCAGGTGGCCTGGGGGCTGGATGGGGACTCGCACCATTCGAATTGGCTCGTGGGGTAATTGAGTCTACACCCCCAGCATCTTGAATGTTTTTAGTCTTTTTATGTATATGGTTTTTTGTATATAGTTCGACTTTTTAACTAAATTAATGTGGATATTTATATTTTCAACTGTTTCGGGGTTTTATTTTAATTATGAGCTGCCCAGAGTCTCTGGGGGAGATGGGTGGCATATTAAATAAATAAATAAATAAATAAATAAATAAATAAATAAATAAATAAATAAAGGTAAAGTATTTAGCCTTTA